TCCATTTCACTGCTACTCAGCAAGATGTACTCGTAAGCCCAGACACTCTCACTCAAGCCACTCCTCTCTCCCACTCTTGATCTCTTGGTAAAGGATCAAAGATCCCATCACATCATCGCTCCCAACCAATTATTTCGGTATAGTGTTGTCAGCGCTGTAGAATTGCCTAAGTTTGACTGAAGCCAACTCATGCTTTTATATATGTTCTTCAAAGGAGATTTAAAAACTGGCCTGTAAACTAAATACTTTCTCAACTAATGCTGAAATTAAATAGCTTTACTGGGCTTTTACCATGTCCGTAGGGTGCTAGGCACTTCAAATCTGAACCACTGCATTTGCATAACTGCCCAGTCTGTTCTTGATGCGTTCATACTCAGAGCGTTCATACTCAGAGCGTTCATACTCAGAGCGTTCATACTCAGAGCGTTCATACTCAGAGCGTTCATACTCAGAGCGTTCATACTCAGAGCGTTCATACGCAGAGCGTTCATACTCAGAGCGTTCATACTCAGGGCGTTCATACTCAGAGCGTCGAACGATACTAGGAAAAAGTCAGTTCCACATGTCGGTGGCTCGAAGCGAGAAGTGTTGTCACGTGGATGATTTGCACAGCAGTTTTTTAGTTTATGGCCGTGGCACCTGGTGTTGGTTCTTGTTTTGCATTCTAGCAATTTTTTTAAATCTTGTATAGACCGCGAGTTGACGAAGCACGCGACCTTCACTCCCCATGTACCTCTCATCCCCACCTGGTAATGGTGGGGACCCCCCAGCCCCCTTACTCGCCCGCCTTGACTCCGACCACGATGGGGTACGGGGCACTGAAGCGGCCCTCGGCGTTCCGGCCCCCCTAAGTAAACAAGTTCCGGAGGGCTGACGCGTAGAGGGCGGCACTGTCCACAAATCTGCGTGTTTACGGACACGCAATCAGTGCTCTGCAAGCTTAATCCCATTTGCAATTTGCCGCGACGGCTTCGCCTTCAAACTTGTCACTCGACTTCCTTCGAGCCTCTTCTGCCGACGCCGTCCGGAGGCTCTTGTTGCTAAACGCTGCAGGGTTTTTACATTATTTTTGTCCCGACAACTGCAAGAGGATTTTGGAAGAATGGAATTTTTGGCTTCAATCCATCCACATCCGTCGGCTGTGGATGTGCTGCATCTGATCTTCCAAAAGCAGGAAAATATCAAATTTTAATTATGAAAAATATTGGAAAATTCCGAAAAAAAATCTGAAAAAATATAACTCAGTACTCACTGCAGTGCGTGACAGAGAGCGCATTTTCTCGTCGACGAAAACGTGAAGTCACAGACAGACAGACGGACGGACAGACGGACATGACGAGCACAATAGTGCATTTTTTCCATAAATGAGAAAAATTCGCTAAAAAGGGGCGAAACTAATGTGTTCGCCTCTTTGTCATTCGAATGTATATATATGAATGTATCAAAAAAGTATATCGCACGTAAAATTTACACTGTCTCTTCATGCCATGATTGACCGTCATTTTGATTGTCCCTAATTGGCTGGCGGGCGGCCACTCGACGCTGATACTCAGAGTAGCACGAGGCTTCTGCAACAGCAGCAGCTCAACAAATTCAAAATGTTCTCCATCAGAAGATCCAGCAAACGGTTATAATAACTCCGAAAGTGGTATTATTCAGCAAGTTTTAATAACTTATCCTTTATATCGTTGATTTCATTTATATTTACATCGTTGGAATCAGATACGCTACCGATGAACCTGAACTCAGTTAAAAGCGAAGTCTTTGGACTGCGAGTTGCTCATAATTCTGATCAAAATCGTCGCACTCCGTTAGGCTGAATGCTGCCTAGCTTTTATGGGCGGCAGGCAGCGACATCCTGCATACCGAAGACGGCAGAAACAAACTCGACTTCTTCGGCTTGTGGAGCAGCATCACAGCGACGCGTCATGCAGTCAACGCAGACCTCCGCAGCACTTTGCTTTGCGAGGGGCTTTCTGTTGAACTCAAGCACCGCCATTGAGCTACTCACTCGCGTTCAACAGCCCTTTTCCTTCACGCCATTTTTCTGCTAAATAAAAGCAGTGAAAGCAAGCAAAAGAGCGCGATAGTGAGAGCAGCGCCTGCAGGGCCAAGCCAAAGCGCTCTTGCTGACACGCGTGGCCGCTGCTAAAGAAAAATTTAAAATGTTTTCGAAAACGAGCAACGTGGAAAAATTGTTTGGTTTCTTTGGTTCCAATCTACGAGACTAAATTCGGTGACGCGATGGAGAATCAGCGACGATGCGGACGAAATATACTAAAACAAATCAACTTTTGCGCCACTTTTCACGCTTTCCTCGGATGCCTAAACTGGTTCTGCCAAAAAAATCTCTTTTTTCCTCTGGTCTCGATTAGAAGAGACCCTCGTCAGATGGGAGAGCCTGATAGCGCCCGACAAAATCCTATTCAATCGGAGAGGCTTTCCATTGGTCCGTTAATGACGGTCATTTTCTTTCTCAATTCAGCAATCAGCTTGGGTGCGAGCAGCGCTGCGATACCCGTAGAACTTTCCTCAACTCTCGTCAGCTGATGAAGAGATTACCGAGGCTCTTTCTCCCCTCAGTCAGCGTCTCGATATTACTCCTTCTCCCCTCAGTCAGAGTCTCGACGTTACTCCTTCTCCCCTCAGTAAACGTCTAGACGTTACTCCTTCTCCCCTCAGTCAGAGTCTCGACGTTACTCCTTCTCCCCTCAGTCAACGTCTCAACGTTACTCCTTCTCCCCTCAGTCAGCGTCTCGACGTTACTCCTTCTACCCTCAGTCAACGTCTCGACGTTACTCCTTCTCCCCTCAGTCAACGTCTCGACGTTACTTCTTCTCCCCTCAGTCAACGTCTCGACGTTACTTCTTCTCCCCTCAGTTAACGTCTCGACGTTACCCTCTCCTCGCACTCTCGCTCTACTGACGACGCCATCGAGTTGTCCGTGGCACGCTGACGCGCTCATTTGCAAACACGGGAAGAAAGACGAACAAAATTTTGAAATTAAAGATTTTTTCAAGGAAACTGATGCTAGGTACGATAATCACGGATCAATTTTCGCTTTATTTTTATTCATAGTTTAACGGCATAACTAACATTTACGGTTTGCAGACAAATGAGTTAAGCGCACTGACTGAGCACATTCATGAATCATATTAAATGCGAAGGATTTCTAATAAACAATGCTATGTAAATGTAACATTGAAATAGCTTAATAATTAAATTCAATTAAAGCGAGCAATAAAATATCACTACTGAATCCTCATTCCCTACAAATTTCCCGTTTTGTACGAGTTTCGTGCGCCAGAGAAGAATAATTAAGAAGGTCTGGAGGCGCTAAAGACTCGACGCCAATAAAAGGAAGCCAGCGTCTCATTGTGAGGGCGGCAGGCGGAGAGTGATCAGTTTTACAGCCTCCTCAGTTCGCGCGGTTCCGTCCTGCAGGCCGACGGATGGATCGAAATACTTTGGGATGTAGTTCGCCTGGATTGGGGCCCTCGTAAAGATTTTACTGCTCACTCCCGCTCGTGAGATTCTCTCCTGATGCAGATTCCTGCGTCCCAGCAGTTGGCACGCGAGCCTGGCTTCGCAGCTCAAAATGGCAAGAGACAATTTGTAAACGATCCGCGAATGCGATTAAAATAATTCCGAATTTCAGACAAAGTCTCTCACATTCTGGCGCTGAAATTTTCTTGATAAATTAGAACAAAAACAGACTGTAGGTTAATATATTCCATTAGCTCCTCATGGGCGGAACATGCAGTCTTTTACTTCGATTAAACTTCCAGTTTTCTAAAAATCAGATGCAAACTTGACAACATAGGAGTAGTGTTCTCGAATAAGTGACAGTCAAGGTGTGTCCACAGATTTAAATCGAGTCAAGTTCCAAGTTTAAGCGTGAAGCACCCAGAGACTGGGGTCACTGCCAGCACCCAGAGACTGGGGTCGCTGTCAGCACCCAGAGACTGGGGTCGCTGTCAGCACCCAGAGACTGGGGTCGGTGCTAGCACCCAGAGACTGGGGTCACTGCCAGCACCCAGAGACTGGGGTCGCCGCCGTTTCTATTAATTTTCTACGCGGCATTGAGGGAAGTGAATGCAAAGTATTTTTAGTAGTTATATTTAGACGGAAATAAAGGCTATAACTTCAAGGAGAGCAACAATGTGATATAATTTGTAGAGTAATGGAAGAATAAAAGCATATGCATCGTGAAATTATACTTCATTTGACTAGAAAACTTGCGCTACTGCAGACTCTGCAACTCTCAATCAAGCCAAATTCTCAGAACAATCGCGATGTCGTAAACCAATCAGCCGATCACTGGTCATAATTGAGCGAAATTAGGCAGATCGCTGACTCCAAGATACGATAAACGTGAAACTTTTCAATAATATGGCCAAAGGTTTACAACATGCGACGGTCGACTGAGAGTTCGGTAATATACTTCATTTAATTACAAATAACTAATAGTATTATTCGTACTGTGCGATTATGCAGGTCTTGAGATCGCAGGCGTCAGGCTCAGAAGAGTCGAGAGCAACATTATGCGTCTCACTGTACAGATTGAAAATGTTACACCAACAAAATTGCACGTTTTTAGAACTCAACATGAAGAAATTATGCAAATAAGGGAGTCGGCTTCAAAATCTTAGAATCAAAGAAACATCAATAATGGCGATTGATTTCTATATTCAAAACTAAATAAAATCTAAAAAATATTTATTTGAACTAAAGCAAAGAAGAAAAAAAATGATCTTCGAGATAAGGAAGCTTCTCGTGCATACAATTCACCCACAGCTTCATGTAAATTGATAAGATGTTTGGTCATGTAAATATGAGATGTTTGGGCATGTAAAGCAATCCAGCTGTAAACTGAACCGAACTCTGCAGTGGCCTTAAGTATGAAGGCTGTAATAGTTTTTATGCATATGATAGGAGCATTAACATGCTGTAGTTTACAAATTGCAAAATTATTGCAAGATGTCTGCAATAATTCATTATTAATTTTGTCTGTATTAACATTATTAATATACACCTTAAGCAAAAAATTATCCCGTTTATGAAGACGAAGTGGAGGGCCGGCACAGTAGGAAGAAGGCTGCCAAGTGCAAGCTTTCACTAACAACTCATCAGAAAGAATTGCCAAGAGGATTCTCGTTTTCAAAATAGACCAATAGACCGAACCAAGGCGGCGAGCCACACAGAAAGAAGTTCTGCACAGTCCAAACAATTCATCAGGAATAATTGCCAATTTTTCTTTACAATAGAAAAAAGACCAATAGACCGAACCGCGACAACGAGCCGCACAGAAAGAAGTTCTGCACAGCCAAATTGTTGATGGGTACGCTGACTTCGAGAGCATGTTACACGTTGCTTGCTCTTTAACACTAACATCAAAAACCATTATTCAAACTTAGAGCGTGATTAATGTACCCTCTGAAGTAAGAAACACTACCTACCTGCACAGTCTCTCGCATCAAAAATAATCGAGTTAGAGTTTCTTCGAGTAGAACAGAATTTGATGAAAAATATTTGATCGGAACTAGACTACCTATTCAAAATTATTTTTCCTTATCAAACCCATTTCCATGGTCCAATGATCAACTCCAAACCTGTGCGTCGGTCCACGGAAATAAACCTTTTGTCTGCTACAGGAGGGTAGCCTCCTTGGAGAGTCCTACAGGAGAGTCCATGCGATGCGAAGGGAAGAGGATAGCAAGACAACGTGGAGACTCCGCAGGGAACTGCGCCGTCTCCAACTAGTCTACCTGTGCGTCAGGTTCATGAAAATAAATTATTTGTCTGTAAGTAGCCTCCTTAAGCCGAGTCCATGCGATGCAGAGTGAATAGGATAATAGGATAGCAAGACAACGTGGAGACTCCGCAGGAAACTGCGTTCACAACCGGCAACTTTGACGGGACATTTGGATGTCCAGAAGTTTGAATTTTGAGGAGGATATTTGACTCAACTGTCAAATATCCCTCGGTCATTGGCAAGGAAGAGCATCAGAACCCTCGGCTATCCTGGCTAGAAAGTTCACACCCCGCGAATGTTTTCTCGAAAGAAATGCGAGGTGTGAATGTTTCTCCATTGTTGTTTTCTCGCGGAGTGTGAATGTTTTTCCCCGCGAAAGAAAACATTAACACCCCGCGAATGTTTTCTTACATCACATGATAGGTGGTCAAGCTGATGGTGACAACACGGAACAAACGTGACTGTTGACCGAAGATAAGAGAAGATAATTGTACGTCCTAGTGATGAGAATAACGGTGCTATGAAACACTTTCTATTTCATAACAATAAGATAGAAAGAGCATCAAATCAGTTTAAAATCTTGTTTTTTTCCGAATTTTTTTAAATAAATGAGCGAAAGAGTTTTCACGAATCTTCTAACATTGCGAGGTTCAACATAACCTTCACATATTCACGAGCTGAAGAAGATGCTATCATTAAACGTAATCTTCAGCTTCAATGACAAGGGTGCGGTCAATATTATTCGCTTTACTATATATGAAGTCGAATATTTTATCCCCCCGTAAATGGTGACTTCATTATAGAATCTAGGCGAATTTCTTTGCGATTTTTTTAGAAGAGGAGCGGCGGTCGGCGACGTATTTCACTACAAAATCAGGCAAGATCGTCGCACCAAATAACTTGGAGGCAAGAAATACTACCGAAGAAGAAGCACTGAAGAGAAACGAGTTAGCAACTTCCAAAGGAAACAAGAAAGAGTCTCAAGAGCAAACTTAAATAGAGCAAAAAAATCGCCGTAAGTCCTGAAATGCCTGAGCCAGAGAGAAGGTAATCGCCAAATAACCCAAGGCGAAGTCGCAAGAAATTTTCCATCCCATCAATTATTTACCTATTAAAGGATTCCATCCTTTATATTTTCCATTCCATCAATGATTTATATTAAAGGATTCCATCACATATTTTATCATCTCATTAAGATGTATTGGAGGTTTCCATCAGATATATTATCATCTCAAGATAAGAGATAAGACATAGATATGCATATATTATAAGATGCATATAAGATATGCATGTATCATTAGAATTTGTAATTAGAGCGAACGGTTCGCGCAGCGCCAAATCAACGTTTAATTCTTTTGCAATAAAGGCGCTGCGACGACGCTAAGTTGGACTAATCTAACCTTGACTTACCAAGCTTCATTCAAAACTCCACGGCAGGCATGAAAGAAATCAAAGGTTCATAATAAATAACGAACTAATATAACCATGAAGAACCAGTGAGTTCAATTCCCAGTTTCATCATTTTTTCATTCATGAACATATTGAACATATTTTCATTCATGAATATATGTTCATATTCATGAAAAAGTACGAGTTTTGCTGTTCATCAGTCAGGAATACAGCAATATTCTTTACCTTCTTGCACAGGCATCAGGACTTCACTGAGCGTGAGTGATGAGAACAAAAATGTATCTCGTATTGAAACAGAAAATTCAAGCTTACATTCCTCGACAAACACTCGAGCTTATGATTACCTACGTATAAAAAAGGAACGTTTCAACGCGTTACACGTATCAACAACTGCTGGAGAACGATGGAAACTGTACATGACGTGTACAGTAACTGTACATAACGTGTACAATAACTGTACATGACGTGTTGAAAAGGACTGTACATGACGTGTTGGACCAGCAACTGTACATGACGTGTTGGACCAGCAACTGTACATGACGTGTTGGAAGAGAACTTGACAGGCCAAATAACTGGCAAGATCGCAGTGACGATCTTGTCACATGTCAAATACAGGATTTTAATCATGAAATCCTACGATGATTTCGATCTTTGAAGATTGGGATTCCAGTAGAGATTGGTTTCAAACTTTGCTGTCGGTGAGCGTAATTTACAGAGCTACTGCAGCTGTTGGGACTCAGAAGAGCTAAGCGGTAGCAGAGGTGGCGGCAGAGACGTTAGCTCTGTGGGCGACAGAGCTAACGCAGTAACTCTAGTGTCAACATCAGATATACTGGAGTCTCTGACATCACTAGGACTACCATTAACACCTCCGGTTTCAGCGTCAGCATCTTCTTGTTGTACAACAGACACGGGATCGTCAGGCCACACGGCGAATGGCTGTTGCTCAGGTACAGAGTTCGTTGTAACGCCCCAAGACTCAACGTCTTTACTAACCTCTGCTGATGTGTCACTATTCGACCATTCACATAAATTCATAGATGGAGAAGACTTATGAACTAATTCTTTATCAGTCATACTAAAAGACAAGTAACTAGCAGGGCCGGAATCTTTGCGCAAGTCTCCCCCTAGGCTCGCCGGTCCCGTGTCGCAAGGGATGCTGGGGATGCGGTTACTCTGGTCTCTGAAGCCTGAGTATTCAGGCAACGGCAGCAGCGACGACGACCCTAACATTGTCACGGGCTCGTCCAGCAGTGACGCCGGACCGCCGTCCGACGATGACGCTGGAGTCTCATCAAGAAATGACGAAGAACTTTTCTGTAGATTAAAAGATAGACTTCCGTCGAATAAAGATGAGGGGCTCGAGTTACGTAGAGAAAGATTACTTTGTTCGTAAACTGAAGACGAGTTGACATTAATATAGGAACTGGAGCTTTGATCAAGGAGGGACAAAGTGTTATCAGGTACAGGCTCGTCTAACAACGAGGCACCGGAACCGCTCAATGAAGGCACCGTACGTAGCGCGCCGCTCTGTGTCGATGACTCTCTTGGCTGCTGAGCTGACGAAAGCTTGCTCGTGTCCTGGGACATGAAGTCCTCGAGGGAGTAGTAGAGATTGAAGGCCTCCTCGCACTCTGGCAGAGTTGCCGTGCTTCTAGAAGGCTCTTCTGTAGCTGCCGTAACTTCGGCAGGAAGGCTGTCATCCTGCACGTGAATAATACAAAATCAGAGCACGCAGGAAACATCACAAGACGAGAATTAGCTGAATAACGGAACGTGCAGACCATATGAGTTACCATGCAACATAATAGTACAGTTTAGACATGCCTATTCTTTGATCTATTCAATTTAAGAAACAAAGTGACGAGTAATTCTTCGATCATTAATGACCTTTGGAAAAATAATAAGTCGTTTAATAATAACTCGTTTCAAAGAAGTTGGCGCTGCAGCGTTGGGCGTCTAGTCGACCTCATGACAGCTGCTGCAGGAGGTGTGGTGTACCTGAGACAGCTGCTGTAGGAGGTGTACTGTACCNCCTCGCCTCTACCGTTCGGCGTTATCTCAGCTCCGCTCGGGATACTGCCTGTCTCTTATACACATCTAGATGTGTATAAGAGACAGAGGTGGTGTTGTCTGCTCTCCATGAGCTGCAGTATGCGGGAGGTGGAGTAAGGCTCGTGGTGCACGCAAGGGTTCTCCTGTACAACCTCCTCCGCCTGCAAACAATAACGTTTCAATAACTGACATTGTTGAATTTGTTGCACATCTTGCACACTAATGCTCAAAAAACAATACCGCGAGAAATGGAAGACTCAGGTTGTGTCATTTTTATTAAATCTAACGAAATAAAAGTATAAACAATTAAGGTCTTGAGGTCCTACCTTCTGGGTGACGGAGGTCTTGAGGTCCTACATTCTGAGAGACGGAGGTCTTGAGGTCCTACCTTCTGGGTGACGGAGGTCTTAAGGTCCTACCTTCTGGGTGACGGAGGTCTTGAGCTCCTCCATCTGCTGGATCATGTCGTTGTAGGAGGCGTTGATGGCCGTGAGGTTGTCCGCTGCTCTGGAGAAGCGGTGCAGAGAGTTGGCGAGCGCAGTGACGCTGGGAGGCGGCTTGGGGTGCCGCGTCAGGCCGCTGCCCTTCATGTGGCGGCTGAATTCCTCCTCTGTCAGACTCAGGCTCGCGCCACACACTTTCTCAATGAACGCCACAGCACAACACTGCACAAATAACATTTATTAAACGCTTGTATGCTTAAGCACATTCTCTAGTAATAGCATAATGTACAATTTGAAGAATTAAAGACAATGAACGAACATTTCACAATCTCCTAAGTGATCTCTCCAGTCCAACTCCAAAAGGAAAATAACAACTAACTTAACTGAATAACTGAAATGATTTATTTGAAGCTCTGCCGTCGTTGCAGCGAGGAAGGGGCAGCAATGCATTGTGGAGTAAGTGACCCATTACCAACAAAGTCAGCAAGATTGGAAATGGAAAGAAACTAGAGCTGGGAATTCGTTGCAGTGTAAATTAAAAATAATATGATCTTATTGGAAAGTAAATATGGAGTTGTGTAATAATAATGTAAATAATACCCATGGCATAATGAGCACCTGTTGAAGAGTAAATCTAATAAAATAATCAGCGTTAAAGATACGAATAAAGAAATGGTATTAGAGTATAACAGGCATTCAGATAACAATAAAGATACACCTATTCTAAAAACAAAGCTAAACTTACTAACCTGCTTTGAGGAACAGCCAGGAGATAACACTTAACGAGTTAAATGTGGAAATTACGTTGATTTCCTAAATGGTGTTGCCAATGTAGCGGGGAAAGTTATACGTAATTTATTGGAAAGAAACTCGTAAAATAAGTAATACTACAGCATCGCGCTCATCCACAATGAATTTATGTGTACTAGATTGTGAAATCTGAAATAATTTAGCTTATAATACTAAAAATGCACAGAAATTTAAATATCTTGAATATATAAAATTTCAATCATAATGCATTAATGAGCTGACTTGTTCAACACCGAGTCGGGATATGCACCCAGCGGGTTCGAACTCTCGGCGCCCCCCCCCCCAGCCCGTACAGTCGCCGCGGCAGTCAACTCAGCCATTCATCCAACTCTGGGGCCATACTTTCAAAAAAAGTTAAGAGATCGTAAGTTCATCAGCCAATCATTGACGGCCACGGAAGCAAAATCCACCAATCATAGACAAGAAAATAGAGCGTAAGTACTTACGTTCACTTAGCGAGTTTTGAAAGTATGGCCCCAGGTTGCTAAATGAGTACCTGGCTTGTCCAGGGTGTTGTGTAATGCAAAAATGGTTCTGGCGGGTCAGCGAGCCAATAATGGTCGTGGAACTACCAGTGGCATTAAAGTGCCCGGAGAAAATGATTTATCACCCCCTCCCTTACCTATTCGCCACTACCAGGATGGGCAATTACAACAACAACAACCTCTCGAAGGCTTTCGACAGTGTCGACCACCCTCTTCTTCTGAGCATGATCGCGGCCTCGGACCTACATAACAACCTGGTCCGCTAATTGTGCTGCTACCTTAGAGGCAAGCAGGCATCCTGCCTCTACCTCAGAACACAATCGCCTTTTAGAGCTATTCACTCAGGAGTTCCCCAAGGCTCGGTCATCTCGCCGGCCCTTTTTAACCATTTCATCTCCGACATCCCAGAGCCGATCCCCAACATTGCCTCATATGCGGACGATCTGACCATCTTCGTGTAATCCCCGAGGCTCGACGCAGCGGAGGCTGAGCTTGCCGAGCTCCTTCAGAACGCCTCGGATTGGACGGCTGACTAGAAACTGGCCGTGGCTCCTTGCAAGTCCTCGGTTACGCTCTTCACCCCAGATACCAACCAATCTCGGTCCCACCCTGCTGCCACGCTCTGCAACGGCATCATCTTCCTGGATAAAACCCCCAAAATCCTGGGCGTCACCTGGTATACGCACTTCACATTCTCCCCTCATGCAAGAGCTATAGCCACGAAAGCGACGGGTTCTCTTCGCATCTTAAAAGCTCTTGCCGGCACCAACTGGGACTTCTCCAAGGAGGACATTATTGCCACCTACCGTACCATCACGCGCCCGATCCTCAACTACGCGGCCCCCATCTGGTACCCTGTTGCCTCCCGTTCAGCAGTTGCCAGCCTGCAAACAATACAAAACATTGCACTGAGACTAGCCACTGGCTGCCTCAAAATGGCCCCAATCTTCACCAGGAGACCGGCATCCTCCCATGATCCGCTCACATGGACCTGGCTTGTGCCTAGTTCCTCGCCAGCGCCCTCCAGCCCTCCCATACCTCATTCCGCATGGCTTCTGCTCCCCTTGCCTTGGGGACCGCCCCATGAAAGCCTCCATCCAGTCGAGGTTTGGCCACCTTGTCACACCATTCTTGGGTAATGGCATGCTGCCTGCCGGTGCCTACGGAGAGGCCAAGAGCTGTGGTGGTGCAGTGGTGAGAGACTCTGTCTCTCGCACCCAGCTCCTGGGTTCGAGTCCCACTGAGGACAAGTTCTACCGGGAAGCTCAGCTCATGGTCAACTCAGCCATTCATCCAACTCTGGTTGATAAATGAGTACCTGGCTTGTCCAGGGTGTTGTGTAATGCAATCAAATGGTTCTGGCGGGTCAGCGAGCCAGTGATGGTCGTAGAACTACCAGTGGTACCGAGTGCCCGGAAAAACTGACCTATCACCCCCCCTCCCTAGTCGCCACTACCAGGATGAGCAATTACAACAACAACAACGGAGAGGCCAAGCGGTCCCTCCGCAGGGAGATCGCCTCCCGCGTTGCGGCGACTGACGCTATCAACGCCGTCCTCGCAGCCCCGCCACCGCCGATTGGCCTCAGTGGAGGCCTAGCTTCCTCGCCTCTACCGTTCGGCGTTATCTCAGCTCCGCTCGGGATACTGCAGCTCCCTGGCGTCCTACTCCGCCAGGATCGGACGCTCCCCTAACTCCGCCTGCCCGGAGTGCTGGGATACCCTCCAGTCGGTTCAGCACCTCTTCGCCTGCCCCGCCTTCCCCACGTCTCTCAGCGTCTCCTCACTGTGGGACAACCCCGTGGAGGCAGCGGCTTTCCTGGTCACCCTCCATGCCTTCCCCCATCTCCCCCTTCCGGTGCCTTCCCCCCGACCACCACCTGAGCCTCCCCCCTGGCGAGCGTGAATCTGGTCGCAACTAACAACATATGCGCCCGACACACATGGACCAGGGTTGACCGTGCCTGAGCAGACTTCTGTCCTTCAGGGAGCAGGGTCCGGCCTGCCCCAAGACCCTGCCCCCTAAGTCCCCAACGGAGGTCTGGACCCAACAGAGGTCAATGCCACTCAGGAGGGCAGGTTAGTGCCAATTCACAAGTGAACAGGAGCTGCTTCACTCACCAGGTTGGTGGGGTTAGTGGTGAACTCACGATGTTAGTGATGCATCACTCACTAGGTTAGTGATGCATCATGCATCACTCACGATGTTAGTGAGGCATCACTCACTAAATTAGTGAAGTAGTATCCCGTCTCGCCACTTTCCAGCTGATGGCGGGGGGCGAAGTTGGTGATGTAGGTGATGTTGGAGTGCAGCAGGGGCGGGTTGGCCCTTATGAGGCAGAAGATGAGGGCTGGCAGGAAGTCGTCAGCAGCGGCAGGGGCAGCGGTCAGCGTCGTCAGCGCCTGCATGATCTGGTGGCTGACACTCACCAGCACTGTCAGCTTGTCTGACGCTACCGCCTTGCCGTCCAACTCCAGCAGCTCTGTGTGGTCACACAGACGTTAACACAGACAATACAGGCGGTCATACAGACGATGCAGGCGTTGATGCAGACGATGCAGGCGTTCATACAGACGATACAGGCGTTCATACAGACAATATAGGCGGTCATACTGGCAATACAGGCGTTTAAACAGACAGTACAGGCGTCGGCAGACAATACAGGCGTTCATACAGATGATGCAGGCGTTAATACAGACAATACAGACGTCAGCACAGACAATACAGGCGTTCATACAGACAATACAGGCGTCAGCACAGACAATACAGGCGTCAGTAGACAATACAGGCGTCAGCACAGACAATACAGGCGTTCATACAGACAATACAGGCGTCAGCAGACAATACAGGCGGTTATACAGACAATACAGGCGTTCATACAGGCAATACAGGCGTCAGCACAGACAATACAGGCGTCAGCACAGACAATACAGGCGTCAGCAGACAATACAGGCGTTCATACAGGCAATACAGGCATTTATACAAACAATAAAACACAAACGGCCGCACACAGACACAACTTGTTTAGTTTTTAGAACAGGACAGACAGAGAACGCCAGGAGGCTACACGTAGAGGTGGACTTTACTTCTTAACTTTAACTTCCTTCTAAACAATTGAATTTCATGAAAATATTTATTTCTAAAATATATTGGGTTTACCTCTATATAGGTAGTTGCTCAATATTTTTGATCTAACACTTGACGTGCAAAGAACATTATCCACGGTGCTAAATATAATATAAATTCTGCATTACTATACATTGAAATATAATAGAAAATAATATAATATAACACAATATAACATAAAATAATATAATATAAAATAATAAGATATAACATAAGGTAATATATTTTAAAATGATATATAACATAATGTAATATAAAATAATATAATTTAATATAACATGATATAAGATAACATAATATAATATAATACAATTTAACATAAATAATATAATAAACTATAATATAAGTTAACAAAATAATATAATAAGAGATAATTATGACCGCCAATGATGAGGTCGACGGTGGGCGCCATGGCGTCGTCCTCGTCGTCCAGTTTGCTCTCAAGCATCTCTGCGCTCACCCAGTTCAGGTGCCTGATCCTGCCCACACAACACAGAGCAGTGGTGAGCAACATACAAGTACACAGGGCATACAATGAATACACATGATTCATTAGGTGTTCCTCACCAACCTCACACAACGTATACAAGATGGCATTAACTCCAAGCGCCCTGCACATCGCACACTCCTGATTACAATCGACATTAGCAAAGCATTTGATGCCATCCCACGCCTCCTACTCAAAGATAAAATCTATAATACAACAGTACATAACAACACCAAACGTTGGCTTGCCAACTATTTAACACTACTATTCACTATTTAACACCATTCGTTCATAACAATGGCATATCATCAAACAAAAAGAACATACCGAACGGAGTACCCCAAGGATCAGTACTTTCACCAACACTTTTCAACCTTTACATGCAAGACATTCCAGCCCCACCAGACAACATTCACATTTCGTCTTACGCAGATGACATCACAATTACATCAACACACACCAATGCTAACACATGCTCTACACAAGTACAACCTTACATCACACAACTAGAGGGCTGGCTAGCATGCAACAGACTCAAAGTAGCCCCCACCAAATCAACAAACACACTACTAACAAGCCACACAAAGGAGCATCAACACAGACCCACAGTCACTCTAAACAACACCATCATACCACACACACATGAAACAAAGATCCTAGGTGTCACTCACAACACTTCTATGTCTTTCGGGCCACACACACAGGACATCAAAACAAAATGCAGACCAAGGCTAAACACACTCAGAGCCCTCACAGGAACAACATTCGAACAGAACAAAGAAACCCTCACACTAGTGTACAAACAATACATACGCTCAGTGCTAGACTATGAAAGTCCAGCCTGGGCACCCATAATTTCACCCACACTTCACAAACACCTACAAACCATACAAAACACAGCCCTCAGAATCGCACTTGGCAGCACCCAAACCACACCATCCAGTCACGTCTATGCAGAAACCAAAGTCCTCTCTATGAAAGAACACCTAGACATGAGAGGCGCTCAATTCCTTGCATCAGCACTCCACAACCCCTTCAGACCCTGCCATCATTTTCAGTTCCTACCCCCTACACCCAGACATATTGCCAACACTCCATACAACTACTATCTCACAATAATTAATTCCATACCTCCGCCCACAGACCCAGCCACCTTCATTAAAAACATACACACACACCTAACCCGGAACGCACTCTTAAATCTACCAATTAACAGCATCATTGACGACATACCACCAGACATCAGCCATACAGAACAGCAGTTGAGCCGTGCAGACAGGGTGCACCTCAGCAGACTCCGCTGCGGTCACCATCCCTCGCTAAACTCTTGCAAACACCGCCTGGACAGCACACAAACGGACCTGTGCCCCCAATGTCAAGCACTCCCCCACACTGTCAAGCATCTTCTGCTGGAGTGCCCGGAGCTGGCAGCACCCAGGCTCCGGGCAGGCATAACATCCATCGCGCAGCTATGGTCCGAACATCAACAACAAGAACACATCACTCATTGACATACATACGACTCATTGCCTGTATTGCATTGCAGTTATTGCCAAGATTAGTTCAACTTATTGAGCTTATCAACATTGCCTAGGTTAGGGGGCGCCTCACAAATCCTGGGGGGGGGCAGCTCACCTGTCCTGGGTGCTGAGGTCCTCACCTGTCCTGGGAGGGCCTCACCTGTCCTGGGTGCTGAGGTCCTGGTCCTCACACGCGGCGTTGACGGCGCCCCTGAGCTGCGCGTGGAGGCGCGTGCACACGTAGCGCTCCGTCAGCACCACCACGCGCACCACGTCATCATCACTCAGCCCTGTCACCGCAATACACCAGTTAATATCACAACTTATATTATAACATGTATATTAGAACTTACATATTAGAACTGATCATATAGTACTTAAGTCATCCCTTCCACCGCAATATAGCAGTTAATATGACAACTTGTCTTATATTATAACTTGTATATTAGAACTTACATATTAGAATTAATCATATACTTAAGTCAGCCCTATAGCCGCAATATAGCAGTTATTATGATAATTTATCTTATATTATAACTTATATATCAGAATTTACATATCACTACTTATCATATGCTTAAGTCATCCCTGCGGCCGCTATACAGCAGTTAATGTCACAACTCGTCTTATAACTTATATATCAGAACTTATCATTCAATTAGGTCATCCCTGACGCCGCAATACACGAGTTAATATGACCACATATCTTATATTATAACTTATATATCAGAATTTACATATCACTACTTATCATATACTTAAGTCATCCCTGCCACCGCAATACAGCAGTTATTATGGCAACTTATCTTATAACTTACCTATATATCAGAACTTATCATTTAATTAGGTCATCCCTGACGCCGCAATACACGAGTTAATATGACCACATATCTTATATTATAACTTATATATGAGAACTTATCACATACTTAGGCTATCCAACCCGCCGACGTGATTGCTTTTTACAACTGATCACATATTAGAACTTATCATATACCTATTTCAGTCATAAGAAACCTGCCGACCCTATATTTCAAACGATGAACGAGCGTTTCATTTGACACTAATGAAAGCTGTTGGTGCGGGCAGTACAAAACAGTAGGTGGCCTAACCCACTCTTTTGTACTATTACAATTAATGTATTACTATTAGTACTAACCTGCAAAGGAGTGGTGGTTGGTGACCATGCTGTGCAGGTTGGTGTACAGGTCCTGCAGCAGGTCCGCAGTCTGCTCCAGAGACTGTGTCTGCAGAGACCGCCTCAGTTTGTCCACACACACGCTGACCTGCTTACGGATAGCGCCTCCGCCTTCCTTGCTTAGTGTCTGCAGACATGACAGACATGACACGTTGTTGCAGACACGACAGACATGACACGTTGTTGCAGACACGACAGACATGACACGTTATTGCAGACACGACAGACATGACACGTTATTGCAGACACGACAGACATGACACGTTATTGCAGACACTACAGACATGACGTTATTGCAGACACTACAGACATGACACGTTGTTGCAGACACTACAGACGACACGTTGTTGCTAACACGACGCGTATTGAAGCAATGCACTGCATATCACGAGAGCGATAGTAAATAATATCTTGTATTTCAGAAATATTTCAAATTATCTGTGCACAATCATCACAATAATAACACACAAAAATAACATCTTACTTTGAGGAAAGCGTCAAACTCTTGGCTAGCAGCGGTGGCAGGGTCGACCCCCTCGTACCTCTCCTTCTCTTTACCTGGTAAATACAGCATTTATTAGCTTAATATTTTATATTCTTACAATAAAACTGTACTGAATCCAGTTCAGAACAGAGAAAGCGTGCCTGCCATATTCTATTAGAATTTATTGATAAAAATTCATGGTATTGAGGAGGAATTTGGAAAATTATTTGTTGTTGACTCTTCGTTTTTATTTCAAGAATCTGACATGACATTAAAAAAATAAAACGAAACTTAATTTCATGCACTACCAAAACCGTTCTCATCGTTATTTGGATAATTGCTCGATCCTACCAACACTCATAGGACAACTTATCATCACACCATGACTACGGTACCTAAGCCATGTCATATAAGATGTCTGCCTGGTATTTAAACGCTACCATCAGAAGACCTTTTGTAATCATCAATTTAGTGGTTTATTTGAACGCTACCATCAGAAGACTGTTTGTAATCAACTTAGTAAACCACGAAAGAATATTATAGAACAAAAGTCTCACTTTTTATCGAAGTTGATTTACGGAAAATTGACTTGACGAGGTTGTTGTTCTTGTGTTTGTGTATCTGCTGGCGCCGCTTCTCGTCCAGCTTGTCAATCTTCTTGTTGATGAGACTGGAGGCCTTGCCGGGCAACACCGAGACGTCGCTCACTGACCGCGACACTTTGCTGCCCACACAACTTGCCGTTAAAAGTAACGCTAACTGACCGCGACACTTTGCTGCCCACACAACTTGCCGTTAAAAGAACATTATTATCCTATGTTCATTCTTGTGGCAGGTTGGAGCAGGTTGCCCGCGCGGGCAAACCTGCTTCCACTGTGTGCGTACCCTTGGGCAAGAATATCTAATGCCTATGCACATGCAATTATAGTGCATACTGAGCATACTATATAGTATATGAGCATAGTATAGTATATGAGTATATAGTGCATACTGAGCAACACGCTGGTCTGGAGGCGACCGAAAGAATTTCTTCGTTGAAATGTTGGCTTTGTATCGGAACCATGCATTGAAGCAAGAATTATATAGAAATAAAACGCCTGTGAAAAATAAATTAATTCATTAATTTCTGCTCAAACTGATGGTTTTAGATATTTTCTGGATATAAAACCATCAGAAAATATATGGATATTTTTTTAGCACAGAAGCTAGCATTTGTGAAACAAATTACAAACGTTCTACAGCGCACCTTAGCTTACATTATTTAAATTTAACTTTAATTGAACTTCCTGGAAATGAGTCTAAGGAATTACTCTGCAGTTTACTCTGTGATTTCTAAGCTTTTTACCAATATCTTTACTAAAAAAAGTTGTTGTTTTTTTAAATATTCAAAGACATACACGACAATGTTACTACGATGACGAAATCATGCGGCAGCGCCGACTGCCAAACAGTCGAATCATGAAAAATGGCAGCGGGAAAATTTGTTCAGGAAAGGTTGAGTGTATTTCATGCAGCAATCATCTCTGTCAGGCTTCTGGTGCTGCCAGTTATCTCTGTCACCATACCTGCAGACACGCTGCCAGCCATCTCTGTCACCATACCTGCGGACACGCTGCCAGTCATCTCTGTCACCATACCTGCGGACACGCTGCCAGTCATCTCTGTCACCATACCTGCGGACACGCTGCCAGTCATCTCTGTCGAGCATGGCTCTGGTCGCCGTAAAGGTTTTTTCGTCACGTGTAAAGTCCGCCGTTGTATCTCCATCTTCGCGGTAGAACACAGAGCGCGACGATGAGGAGAATTTTACCCGTGACAGAGACAACGGTCGAGGGCGCTGTACCGAGGTCAGAGGCGCGCCGTGGTCTCTGAATGCCACGCGCCCGACGGCCGCTGAGTACAGCACCAGAGACGGGCCAGAGACAACGCTGTTCTCTGACGAGAAATGGGGGAGTCTACGCGGTGGTGATGTGGTGGGGTGCACCGGAGTTCCGGTTGCGGGAGGATCCAAGGTGGCGGGATTCAGAGACGTCATGTCTCTGCTACTAAAATTCTTAGGGCAATTGATGGGGTGATGCGCACTCAGAGATTTCTTTCAACTCTTCAATGTTAGCGTTGAATCTCAATTTGAATCCCGCTTCGTTTATCATCAATAATGCTATCAAATAAAATAAGTAAAAAATTCAGGTAATACCGAAGGAAGAGTTGAATTCCACGGTCAGTCTGCATCTAAACTACGGGCGGCACACAAAATAGTCTTCGCTGTGCATCATATTGACAAGTTTCCATACACAGAAAATCCACAAAATTACATGGCCAATGGATAACTTTATGATAAGTGGACAGACAAGGCGAGCAGAGGCTGCCTTTGGTGCCGGACCGTGAATTGCTGTCTCTGCGATGGTCACTAGACCGATGACCAGACGGACACTTGGCAAGCCTGTCACTGCGATGGCCACTGGACCGCTGACCGTACGGACACTTGGCAAGCCTGTCACTGCGGTGGCCACTAGACCGCTGACCGGATGGACACTTGGCAAGCCTGTCACTGCAGTGGCCACTAGACCGCTGACCGGACGGACACTTGGCAAGCCTGTCACTGCGATGGTCACTAGACCGCTGACCAGACGGACACTTGGCAAGCCTGTCACTGCGATGGCCACTAGACCGCTGACCAGACGGACACTTGACAAGCCTGTCACTGCGGTGGCCACTAGACCGATGACCAGACGGACACTTGACAAGCCTGTCACTGCGATGGCCACTAGACCGATGACCAGACGGACACTTGGCAAGCCTGTCACTGCGGTGGCCACTAGACCGCTAACCGGATGGACACTTAGCAAGCCTGTCACTGCTATTGCCACGAGACCGCTGACCGGACGGACACTTAGCAAGCCTGTCACTGCGATTGCCACGAGACCGCTGACCGGACGGACACTTAGCAAGCCTGTCACTGCGATGGCCACGAGACCGCTGACCGGACGGACACTTAGCAAGCCTGTCACTGCGATGGCCACGAGACCGCTGACCGGACGGACACTTAGCAAGCCTGTCACTGCGATGGCCACGAGACCGCTGACCGGACGGACACTTAGCAAGCCTGTCACTGCGATGGCCACTAGACCGCTGACCGGATGGACACTTGGCAAGCCTGTCACTGCGGTGGCCACTAGACCGCTGACCGGA